TTAAACTTACCTTTAATGCAAATACAAATATTAAAAAAAAAATATTAAAATTAGTTAGCTTATTTTTACTGTAAATATGAATTCGATAGTTTTATTCAAAAGTCTATCTGGTTCTTTACCAAAAGAAAGAACTGATCTAATCTAAAATAAAAAAAGAAATTATTTATTAAAGATAAATCGCTTTGAAAGAAGTAATATAAAGAGATAATAAATAAACAAATTTTTTTTAATATTAAGATGTGTTGCTATTGATTTTTTACAAATAAATTACCAAGTTACTTAAATTATTTTTTTAAAATTACCTAACTTTTGACTCTTTTCAATACAAATAGGCTAGAATATTACTTTTAGATATACTTGAAGCATAAACAACTGACCTTTTTCTATAATTACAATAAATGAAATAAATTTTAATATAAAGAATACATAACTGACTTATTAAAATGATAAGTTATTTTTTTTGTTTGATAAAATTTTAAAATAAAAATAAAATTGAAAATTTTGGAGTTCAAGATTATTTTTATCCTTTAAACTGATGTTTAACTTTAAGATTAATATACAAAGATTATTAATATAATTAAAATTAAAGATAATACTACAACTAGTTGCAACTATGTGATGCTTATTTGTCACTAGTTGTAACTAGTTGTAATTTAATTTTATTAATGTCGCAATTAATTGCAACTTTGTAATACTTATTTATCACTTATTGCAATTAGTTGTAGTGCTATCTTTAATTAAAATAAAACTACCTAAGTATTATTGAGAAAAAACTCAAATACATGATATTTTTACAATAATATGCTAATATTTAACCTTAACTAACTTAAAATAATCCTAACTAATTCAACCTGTAATAGATTTAAGTATATAAATAAGATTTTATCATATCAAAAAGTCCTCTGAATAAATAGTAGAAATGCATCTTTCCTAGAATCACCATCAAAAATCCTCAAATATGTAATTTACTTTATATGCATGTAATTTAATTTATAGGTAATGCAAAATGTTAATATAAACAAATTTAAAATTCTCATGCTTCCTTTTTTTATTCTAATTTTTTTTGATATTATTTTTTGTTCATAATAACATTTAAAATACTTTTTTAATATTAATAAAACAAAAATATTTCCAAGCATCCTTTTAATAATCTCTTTTTAGATATTTTTTTCAATATTGCTCTTTTTATTTTAGAATTTGATACTTCTGAATTTTTAAGTTATAAAATCAAAGATATTTTTAAATAGCTAAACTTATAAAAACTTTTAGTCAAAAATTTTAAAGGGTTGATAAGAAGCAAAACAATATGTGAAAATATATGATAATTAATTAATATCTTGATATTGCAAAAAAGATTATCAATTCTATTGAAATGCTGATATTTCTAACTATAGAGTATTTTATTGTGTTAGAATCTCTATAATTATTGTATTAAAGAATTATACTGGGCTTAATTATATATGTAATTAAAATAATTGATTTTCTTTATATTTATTTTAAAAAAAAAGTTTAATATTATATCTTGATTTTTTATTTAGTTTTCTTGTATATAATTTTCAAAACAATTTATAAGTTATTTGGTGATTTAATTATTACAACAACTTGTTATTACTAGATTAGTACAGAACTATGCCTTTAACTTGAAGTAGTTTACAGTTAGTATTCATTATTATAAAATTTTTATAAAATAAATCTATGCTTATTAAAAAAACTTAAAATTTTCGTTTTAATTAATTAAATATATTGTATTAAAATGTAAGTTAGGGTTTAAAAAATGCTATATGTCCAGCTACGCAATATTTAGCATTAGGGTTAGGACGTGGCATTAGGGTTAGGGCGTAGCATTAGGGTTCAGAAGGAAAAGTTTGTTAGAAAAGCCGGCTGCAGGCTACGCAGCTAACGACTGCACAACATTTACGATTAGTTGCATAGAATTAGGGTTAGTTCATAGCATTAAAGTAATTCATATATTAATATTTAATTTATATTATTAAATATATTCAACTAAGCCACATCACGTGTACCTAAAATCACGTGTCCAAGGATTTTTAATGGTCTGGGGGAGTTGTAGAAACACAAACTTGAGGGGGTGTGATAATATTTTATTATAATCACGTATCAGTAACGGTGGAAAATGTCAAAATGATTAACGATCACATGATATTAATTATTGTGTAATTTTTTTAATCCGCCACGTATTACATAATTCCCAACATGTGATTTTGTAAATTACATAAATTACATAAACGGTTATATTTGAGGATTTCAGAATCATAGTAGAGTTATGGAAATATGAAAAACACAAACAAGGTTAATATGATAAATTATATTATCTAATTCAATATAAACTAACCAAATTATATTTTTTTTATTAAAATTAGCCTTGCAACTTTTAAAACAATACTAAGTAACTTTATTCTTTAGCAATTCCATCAGAAGGGAAATCGTATCTTTACAATGATTACCTGAAGCTGAGTATGATAGAGAGCAAATGGAAGTGACGGTATGTATGCTAAAGCAAATTTTAAGAGACGTAAAGTTAATCAATTAATCGACCAAATGCCTTTGAATGACTCAAGATACGTTTTATGATCAATCAACTACCACAGTTTCTACGATTTCTACTCGATCCAAAAATAAAACAAAACAGATTGAAGTAGAATATCGATTAAAACGTTCTATATGTCCATTTAACAACTGGGCTCTTTGACAAAAAGACTCACATCATCACATGAAAAAACTCAAAGCGCGCGTAAAGTAAAGTTATCATTAATTCAGATGGTTCAGATGAAGCAGAACAACCCACTATAATTAACACAACCACAGCTACTACTAATACTACTGGTGGTATGAAACTTTTGTTCGAATTTTTTAGAGAATAATTCAAAATTCTATACTTTACTCATTTGTCTTCCTAAATAACCAAAAACAATTTATCTGAGAATGAGTTATTATTTCGGCAAGACTCATTATTTCATTATACAGCATTTATCAAGGTCTTAGGATTAATAATATAAGTCACTCAATTATAAGATTTTTTAAACTTCGTCGTTCTATAATCTAAAAATCTTTAAAATTAAACAAGTTACACATTGTTGGAGTACGTTAACGTATACCATGGTCACTAATTTCGGAAACTTTTGAAATTACAAGGACTTTCATTATCATTAATTAATGAATAGTGGTTTAAAAGATTTTAATGAACTTCAATATGATGCATTTCTAGAGTTGCAAATTTTAACATTTGGATATGATTGTCCGAATGATGAATACTTAATTAGATTCCTGGAAAATAATGGAAAGAATTTAAAGGTACTTAGACTTTGCAAAAATTTTGATTGTTCATTAAATTTAGAATCATGAAATTTTTATCCAAATCTGAGGTCGTTACGCAGTGTATTTCATGGAGACATAAAAGAATTTTAATAGTTGTCAACAATTAGAAAGCTTGGAGATTTTGCTTTGCGAATTCTTTTTTAGGACGAGCGTGAATTATTAGATTTTATTGTAGAATTTCACCTAAAACGTTTTATGAGTTATCAATTGATTTTGGAGTTCACGTATATTTGGAAGTTAAGGTCTATTTTTGAATGCTGGGCGAATTGCCATTTATTCCTCTCTCTTTGAAATTCAGAATTGGATTTAGAACTGTCAAAAATTAATATCAAAATAATTGAAAATTGAGTGTTATTAGGATTTCAACGTTAGGATATGATTAACGTCTTAGAAAAATCATTGAATTACTAAATATTTCATGACAATGTGCTGTGTTTTAAAATTAATAAATTTTATAATGTAACTTAATTTTCAATACATGCTACTTGTTTATTTTATATTGAAGTTTTTAATTATTTTAAGTTATTTTCCAATAGAGATGAAATAGATCAATCCGATCGAGTTTCTTTGGAACAGACTCTAATAAAATGTTGAATTTAAATCTATTTCTAAATAACTAGTAGCTTATAAAAAAAGGGCTACCGCGTGGAGTTGTTAATGAGGTGCATAAATTTTAAATCACATAATACTTGGTATTTGCAAATGTTCCGTGTATCTTAAAATTCCGAATGGGTAAGGTGCTTTAATCTTTAAAAAACCACTTTAAATTTGGATTATGTGAATGTTTTAGTTTAATTGTATGTATTTTTATTACTGCTGCGAGTATCTATTAATGTTAAACTGAACGATAATAATTCTTTTATATTATTTTATTAATTAAAATAATCTCTTATTATTTTTATAGAAATTTATAAACTTATTTTAATAATCTGTGACTTTAATATAATATATACTGTATATAATATATTAGAATTAAATTAAAAATATTTTCATTTTGAATATTACTATACCTATAAACCATCTTTTTTAAGACTTTGAAGCAAATTCTAAAAAATTTGATATTAGCATACGATAAATAATATTATATTACAAATACAGGAAAACAAGATAAATTAGCATTGTCCGCATACATATTTTGCTTTATTCTATATATTTATCCTACATATTTATTTCCGCTTTACTAATTATATCCTAGATAAATTATTTATTATTTATTCTCGTCTGACAATTTCCTCCCTTTTTCCTTTCGCTCTTATCTCTCCTCCACAAATGAAGATGGTATCGTCCATCCAGGAGTTCGGGTGGTGGTCTTATATTGTCTTTAAATGTATTATCGTTCGTCATACATGTACCATCGTTTTCTTTGAATTTTATGTGTTAGATATTTCGTCAACATCATCTGCATGCATGTCTAAGCAATTTTTAACCTATAATACAACAAATAAAGAGCTATAGATAAATAGATTTAGTAAATTTAAGGCTTATTGTACATGCATATCCGTTTCATTTTTATTTTTGGACGGATGAAATAATATAGATCGTCATTTACGGACCTGGGTTGTACTTCGGAAAAATTTGATCGTTCGTGTTTTACATATGCTCGATCCGCGTTTTCATTTTTCTTTTTCATTAAAATAATTAAAATAGGAATAAAAATATAAAGTCCTATGGGTATTCTGATATATCCTAAAACTGATACTTACATTGGAACGCTTTGAATTTGTTCTTCTATTTTTGACCAATCGATATTTTGAGAAATTTGGCAGGATTTTTTTCTGTGCCGAAGTAATTGTTGAAGAACATATTTAAGTTCAACTTGGTCATATCTGATTCTTCGAATTATTGTTCTATCGATAGATGGCGCGAAATTTCATTCCATGGCTTCGTATGATCAAGTAACGATGCGGTGAATCATCCAGACCGGAAAATATCTGAACCACTTCATCCTAAGTTTACAAAATGTTAATTATTAGTTCTGATTAATTTAAATCTGGAGAAAATATTATTTATCGTAACTCTAAAGACTTATATTGTTCGACAGTCACATCCTCGAATATTTCATGTGATTTTCGATCGTATCTTCCATTCTTCGCTCAAGTAATTTAACGTTGTTTGAATTGAACTAATCTCTATTGTTAAATAATAAATAAAAAAAAAGACATTTTATTTATTATTAATATTTAATTAATTACCATTCCTTTCCAGAGTTCTGCTAATGCTTCTGCTTGGGCTCTGACTTGGACTTCTGCATCTATCACTTCTTACGTTCCTATTATTTCTTTTCAGGAGATATGTTACCGGAATTCTATTGGTTACGGATAAGTTCCTAGAGCTTCTATCAGGACTTCTGCTGCGTCCATGACTTCGACTCCAGATATCCTTACTTGAACTTCTTCCATATCTACTTGGAACAGGACTTCGACTTCTACTAGTTTTCATTTAATAAAGAATTAAATTTTTAACCTGAAAATCAAAATTTTCTCAAATGAGCCCAGACACAAAGCTATTGAAGAATTCTCAAAAATAAATTCAATAATGAGTTTTAAAGAAACTTAAAAATTTTGACGAAATCAAAAGTAAAGGTTACATTCATTCGATTCTTCGCAAACTGATATTTTGCGCAGTACTGCAGGCAGTCATAATAATAATAATAATAATAATAAAACTCTTACTGATATGCTGTTTGGTTTTTAAAAATATAAAGCGTTCTTATTTTTATTTTGTCTACGGATTAAATTCATATTTAGGATAAACGATAAGATAAGGTTTGGAATCTGGGAGCTTTCGGAATTTCTCGTCAGAACGCGAGATTAACATTTTTACGCTAAAGCTTCGCCTAAACAAGTACAAACTCAATAAACTTGACTCATTTTCAGAAGTTCTTTTTAGGACATCATATGACCGGAACCAGGATAATTAAGCTTGCAAATAGAAAATTCCTGCTCCTTTGACAAGTGTTCGATCGTACCGAAATGTAGAACCTGCTATAAAGTAAAGATTTCAAGATCTAAAATAAAAGAATTTTTTATTGATTAAAGAAGATTCAAAACTCTAAGTAATTCAGTGACGCATGTGTTCTAAACAGGTTCATGAGATACTCTAATAAAACCCGATTACACATGAGCATTAATCCAAGAATGTGCTTGAACAATTGACGCATTAAGTGTAAACATGGGTATGAAACTTACTTGACTCATTGATTTGTTATGGAAATTTTCAAGTAGGGTGTTTTTCCGCAAGCGATCATACCAGAATGAGTACCTGCAGTAGAAATCCAAGACCTAAAAAATAAAAAATAATTTGTTATTGAAGTAATTCAGTGACGCATGTATTCTAAACAGGTTCATGAGATACTCTAATGATACCCGATTACACATGGGTATTAATCCAAGAATTTCCTTGAACAATTGACGCATTAAGTGTCAACATGGGTATGAAACTTACTTAGCAATGAAAATGATTTGTTATAGAAATCTTCAAGGAGAGTGCTTCTTCGCAAGTGATCATACCGAAATGAGTACTTGCTGTAGGAATCCAAGAACTAAAAAATAAAAAATAATTTTTTATTGAAGTAATTCAGTGACGCATGTATTCTAAACAGGTTCATGAGATACTCTAATGATACATGGGTATTAATCCAAGAATTTCCTTGAACAATTGACGCATTAAGTGTAAACATGGGTATGAAACTTACTTAGCAATGAAAATGATTTGTTATAGAAATCTTCAAGTAGAGTGCTTCTCCGCAAGTTATCTTACCGAAATGTACTTGCTGTAGGAATCTAAGAACTAAAAAATAAAAAATAATTTTTTATTGAAGTAATTCAGTGACGCATGTATTATAAACAGGTTCATGAGATACTCTAATGATACCCGATTACACATGGGTATTAATCCAAGAATGCGCTTGAATAATTGACGCATTAAGTGTAAACATGGGTATGAAACTTACTTGACAATGAAATTGATTTGTTTGAAAATCTCTTTGTAAGAATGCTTCTCCGACAAGTGATCATATCGAAATGGATACATTTTCAGTAATTCTCTTTAGGACGACATTGCTGGAATCTGGGAGTTTATGTATGTAAACATCACCTCGTTAGAAACGCAGGGTTAACCTTTTATGTTGAAGCTTCGCCAAAGCAATTACAAAACCTACCATATTTTAGAACTCTTTAGGGCTTTTTTGGAAACTGGGATGTAAGCAAAGCCTCGTTCTCAACTTTTTTATGCGAAGTATCGCCTAAGCTAGTACAAAGCTCACCCTATTTGCAGAAGTTTTTTTTTTAAAAAAATATGTTTGATATCTGGGATGTAAATTATAGGTCGTTTTCAACCTTTTTATGCCTAAACTAGTACAATACCAAGCTCATTTTGTTTGTATTTTAGGAAGGTAAATTCCTTTACCGAAAACAAAAGAACAAGAAAAAAAATAATGATTTTTTTTAAAGTAAAATTAAAATAAATGAATAATTGCGAAAAAGTTTTCAGGTAACTAAATTAATGTTTCATTTTTAACCTTAGCTCTAACCGTGTGCTGGATTTCCTAAAATGGTTTTTGACTAGGAGAGTAGGTCAAATATGCATGTTTATCAGATCGTTAGTTGATAATCTCCAAGTGCATTGTCTTTGAAAGTTTTATTAAAATGAATTATTTAATAATATAACAAACAAGTATCTTATAATATTAAATTCAATAAAAATAATTTTATTAAAAAATTATTGTTTATTTAAAAAGCTTTTTTATAATTTTTGTTAATAATTATTTATTTAAAATGTCAATAAGCGAGAACTTACTGAATTAGGAAAGGTGCATACCATAAAAAATTAAGATCTATTCGGAAAATTTCATAACGGTTTATACTAGAGAATTCCTTGTTTAAAAATTCTAATAATCTAATAAAATTTACTTAACGAAAAGGGATTAAAAGTACGTTACGGTTCATATGATTTACTATTTTCGTAACTCGATTTTATAATAACCAAATTACATAAAATTTTATAATAATATATTACAAAACCAGCAGTACAACATTTACTTAGAACCAAATATGATGTTTAGAATATAGTGCAAAAAGATTGAGGACAAAGAAATTTTATACGTTCCGAAAATTTTTTAATTCATATGATTAAGATATGCGCAGCTTGATTATGGCTTTAAGGTTTGCTATTGCTAGTTAATTAATAAATAAAAGTTTATATGTAGCCACAATCGCCAATTAACTTTATAATATATTTTTCAAGACAACTGATATTTATTCGGATTCGGACTGGCTATTCTGAAAATGATCGACATTTTAGGAATCCCTACATTGTATAAAGTCGTACGAGTTTCCAAATTAGTAACGATACTACATATATATTATTGATCATTTAATTTTCGCGCGTAAAATTCATTATTTTTTTTTTTTTATCATTACACTCCTTTCATACTTTTTATATTTTTAACATAGAAACTTTTAATCCTTGGAGTCAACGACTTGTTTTTTAATAAAGTGCTAATGCTTTAAATTTTTAATTCTAAAAACTCTATCGTTTCTCAAAATTTATTTATATCCGTATTTAAAGAAATTCAATGATATGAAAATGGGTGAACGTAAACTTCCTACAATCCTTATAATTGGAGCAGGCCCAGGTGGGCTAGCTTTAGCGCATTCAATTCAAAAAAAATCATAACACGATCGAAAAGAAATTTAATGTAAAAATCATTGACCCTGTACCAAGCCCACAAGGTACTGATGTGATATTTTTAGGGTTACGGGCAATACCCTAATCCAATTTTGGCAAAAGTCAAAACCTTTCGGTTTCGACGAAACCTCCGGGTTTTGCCCGGCAACCCGGAAACCTTACGTCCTTTTCACGGTGTTAAATTCCCTTTTTTCATACATTTAGATCGGTGGCAAGGTTATCATATTTACATTACTTTGCACGAGAGTAAAATCATTATTAAAATGTATTCCGAAATCTATTGATACGAGAATTCATGAAGTTGTACCAGATCCAATTGGCGATGGAATTGAAAAAACTGTTGTAACGGTTCATGATCATTTAGGAAAAATATTATTTAAAACTCCAGGATATCAAGTTAAGTGTTTATGAATTTAGTAAATTAAATAATTAATTTACATTTATTGTAAGTTGTAGGGATAGATTGAGAGATTTATTATTAGAGGTATTGACGTGCAATGGGGTAAAACGTGTTGATACCATGAAAATGAGGAAGGAGTTTGGGCTATCTTTGAAGATGGTACGAGAGAGAGTTGAGATTTCTTGGTAGGCGCGGACGGAATTCATTCTGCAAGTAAGTCATGAATTGGAATATACATCATATGTGATATTATTTTCTTTAATTTGATGTTTACAACATTCTTGCTTTACAATTTGTATTGTTCGTAAACAGAAAATTCCTGATAATCACCTCTATAAGTTTCGATGGGCCCAAAAAGAGATTGTACATTCTTAATTTTTCGTTTAATTCCCATAGATTCGTCTAAAGCGATTAATGAATCATCACGTTATAAAGTATCATTTGCTTATTATTACATGAAAAAGATGATAGTTGGATTGGACATATAAGAATGATGAACTATTGTTAAGATTGAATGTAATTACGGCCGAAATCTTCATAACTCCCGCATGTAAATCGATTTTAATAATTACAGTTAGTCTTTTTGACGATCATTTGCCAGCTGTCACGGTGCCAGGATGTCAAATGTATTCTGTTATCGTTATACAAGTAATTTGAAATTTTTTTTTTAAAAAAAAAAACTTATAAAATTTTAACAATGTCTAATAGTAATTGTAAAGGTAAGAGTGTAATAAAAATACTAAAAAACATTTTCACTGAACAAGAAAAAGGAAGAAAAGTTATGAAGCTTCGTATGACTAAAATGAGTTAATTTGACAATTGGATGATATTCTAAAATCTTTTTTTTTTTTCATGAATTTACATTAGAGCCAGTTTCGGATGCTAAAAAAGCTTCCCCATTATATGTCGTTAATTATACTCATTTTTGTTTGCTAAAAATTAAATATTATCAAATTTGAATATAGAATCGGTTTCAAATGAAGGTAAATACAACAATTTCGATAAATAATTGACCAATACTAAAAGGAATTTGTTAATTATATCTTATAATGTAGAATTAACCTTGGATAATGAAAGTGAATATAATAATAACCATAATACCGTAATTTTTTATTTATGTTTTTATTTACTAAAAATTTTAATATACTTGAAATATAGCACTAACTTCAAATGATAAAGGTAAATAGCAAATATAATTAATCAACATATATAAAAATCTATTAATTATATTCAATAATTGGTCAAATATTAGAAAGATTAAATGGTAAAGAACATTTATAAATTTCAATAAATGTACCAGTAAAATTAATAATGATATTATAAAAATTAAATAAAATACATGTATTACTTTCAAATATAAAGGTCAACCTCTCATTAGGGCTATAAATAGTTATACTGCATAATAAAATTTTTTTATATTTACCGAGTGCTCCAAAAATTTTTATCATTTCACTTGCTAAATATAAAATTAAAAAAAAAATAAAATGGAAACTTCCAAGAATTTAAATGAGTTTATTGAAAAATATATTTCAAGTAATAATATAAAATATTTTTAATACAAACATTTTAGCAATTTTCAAAAGATTTAGTTCAAGCAGCTTTGAAAAGTCTATTAAACAAATTGGAAAAGTTCAAAATAATATCTTGCGTTAAAATTATTTTATAACTTTAATAATACCACTGTTAAAAAAATGGTTCACGAAGTATTTACAAAATATATTTTAGTTTGTTTATTATAATATCATTTATATCAGTCAAAATTTTTAATTTGTAATAATTTTAGCTCAAACTTCAACAAGCAGTTGAATTTTATTGTAATATCATCTGCTTTTTTGGAATTATAGCATAAAACTAAGGTATAAAATCTTATTTAAGTTAGGTTAATTAATAATATATATTTTAGCTTTTACATTGTATTTTTAACTAATTTATATATTTTTTAAAAATAAAAAAAAATTAGAAAATCAAAATGATCAATTGAAAAAATATTTGATTGTAATAGAATATACTAATGACAGTGTTCTTAGAAGCTACTTGAAAAATAATTTTAATAAGCTTATTTGAGAAGACAAATATAACTTGGCATTTCAGTTATCTAGTACTGTATCATGTTTACATGACGAAGGAATTGTGCATCGTGATCTAGTAATCTTACATATATATCTCATTTTGCTTATTATAAATCTTATTGTCAAAAATTAATATTTAAATTTTATATATACATTTAATAGCATTCTAGCAATATATTAATTCATCAAAATGTAATTAAACTAGCAGACTTTAGTCTATTGAAAAGAATTGACGAAATAACCAACTAGTCAAATGTTTTTAGTATAATTTCTTATTTAGATCTGAAAAGATTTTCTAGTTAAAGAAAAAATAACAATATGTCACAAAAATATTTGCAAAATAAAAAAAATGACGTTTACAGTATTAGTGTACTATTATAGAAGATATCAAGTGACCACCCTTCTTTTTATATTGAAGGTAAACAATTCAATATCTATTTAGCTATAAAAATTAAAAAAAGACTCAGAGAAAGTATTATTCCTAATACGCTTGAAGATTATGTAAATATTTATACAGGTAAATATAATATTATAAATTCAAATATAATGCTTTTGATCATTAAATTGTTTATATGATTTTAGATTGCTGGGACAACGAGCCAGACAATTATCTGACTATGAGTAAAGTAGTTGAAAGATTAAATGATATAATTATAAAAACAAATAAAATAGAAAATGATCAAATTAATAATAAAGATTCAAACCTTCAATTGTCAGAACTATAAATTTATTATAGCATGGATAATTCATTTCATGGGGACTTATCTCAATTGAATCAAAAATTAAATCAGATGAATATAGAAGAATTAGAATCAAATAATAAAATATCAAACATTATTTACAATGATACTATTGATAGTTTAACAATTACGGATCTTAATAAGGCTATATTAAATGCTTTGGAAGGATTGCAAAAATATCAGAAATTAAAAGTTCTCAATTGTAGTAATACCTAAATAAATAGCTTACTAACATTACCTGACTCCTTAACAAAATTCTATTACTATAAAACTCAAATAAATAGCTTATAAACTTTACCCGACTCCTTAACGGAACTCTATTATGATTATACTTAAATAAATAGCTTACCAACTTTACCTGACTCCTTAACAATATTCAGTTGTAATAATACTCCAATAAATAGTTTGCCAAATTTTTCTGATTTTTTAAAATGTATTTATCTAACACATTTACTATATAAAATATACATTTAATAACTCTTTTATGATACTATATAATTTTTAATATTCAAATTTTACAATTTAAATCTTTTTCTTTTGACTTATAAATTATATTTAGTAGTATTTATATATACCATGATTTGAAATTTTTTCTTAACTATATAATAAATTAGGATAATAAAGTTTTATAGGACTTATTACAGTGAGGTTTAAAAAAAAATTTGGAGAATTTCTTTTTTTTGATAAATCTATAAATTATTATTTATTTAACTTATCACTATTCAAGCAATTTGAAAAGCATGATGTTTAATAATTTTTGAGGAATTAAAGTGTAATAATAACATAATTTGTAACTCTTTTATAATTGATTTTGAAATATATGTGTTTAAGAATAATTTTAGTTCAACAATTTGTTATAATATTAAAAGTTATAATATATATCAAATATATATTAATTTTGTTGATATCTATCTTAATAATAATAATAATAATTTATTTATAAAAAACTAACTTTAAAATATAAAAAAAATCATAATTGGTTTTAACAAGAAGTTAGAATATTTAATATCGCCAAATTGATTTATTGTTTATTGTTTTATCAAGGTCGAATTTTGATAAATTTTCAAACAGTTAATGTTTTTAATAAATTATCTCAAAAGTTTGGATATACTCTTAAATGATACTCTAGAATGACGAACAAATACAGTTTTTCTAAAAAAAATATGCTTCTGTAATTAAAAATAACAAATATTATTCCTTTTACTATCTTTTATTTTTTAAAAAAAAATAAAAACAAATGATTAAGAAAGTTTATATATTCTTCACCTTAAGCATCCGAAATGATTTTTCATTGATAATAAAACTAAATATATAATATCAATTTAGATAAGACTTTAACTCTGTAGCTTTTTTATTGTAAATGAAGTTTCTGAAATGTAACTTACAATAATTATGTGATTATAATTATTATACAAATTTTAAGAGATAAGAGAAAAATTTAAAGAGCAAGTTTTCATATATTCAATTATTATGTACTTGAATAATAGCATTCTAATTGATCAGTGATCATGTAATTAACTAATTTGTAGTAAAATACTAAATAATCCAAAAGTGAAAAGAAAAAAAAGATATAATTGCTATGGTCTGCAGTAATCCAACCTGAGTAAAAAAGATAAAATTTAAAAATAAATTCAAAAAAACTTACCTATGTCCAAATAGAAATCACCTAAAAAAGAAGAAACTTATTGATGTAGCCAAGGATATCCAGCTCGATAAAATTCATTTAAAAAAGTAAAATCTTTAATTATAATGAATGATACAATTATTTCAGCATTCTTTACTTGCTAATTAATTATTTAATTTTTAGAATAGCTAATTCTTTTATATTAATATAGTCATTATTTACCCTAGATATTATAGACATCTTAATTTATACTTATTTTTTCTTTGATATAAAAAAAAAAGAATGTCACCTTTCCATTTAAGAAAGAAAACATTAGCTGCAACTGCTGAAACATTATTTCAAAGTTAAATATGAATGTTAAGATTCAGGTTAAACACATTTTTATTTGTAAACTTTTAGTCAATCTAATGAACTAAAAGATATTACATAATGATTTTTATAAGGATGTTTTTAATTGAGAATTAAGTCTAGATTAGAAAATATTAGGAAACTAATTCACTAAATAAATATCTAAATAATATTTTCAGAATTAATAAACTTTCAAGAGGATTAGCACTTTATATGTCAAATACAATATACATTTAAGTAATTATCAAATATTATTTGAAAATTGTAAATTTACATGTTGCAAAAGAACATTTTGGAGGTTTTTGTATCATTGATATTTACAAATTTTGTTAAATATATTTTGCTAAAAAGATTATACCTTCAAATGATATTATAAAGGTGAATTATTTTGAATTTTTAAGATAGCAATCAGTATATTATCATATCTTAATACTACACATGTTATGTATTCATTACGATCTGTTTCATTATGATACAGGGTAGTGATAGCAAATGATCTCAAGTGACTTAAATAAATATTTATATATCATTTAGGTCATTTTAATATTAAATAATAAATGACCTGTCATTTAAAAATTATACCATGTAATCTCAAAAATTCTGGCTAAAATAATTAATGTAATTTAATGTTCTACATGATATAATTTGTAATTCTGACTAGCATATAAAATTTGGCCTGTATTACATTTAAATGACCAAATGACAAATGACCTCAAATGATCGGGTCATTTAAAGGTCATTCAGAAGTCATTTTAAAATAGCCAAATGACCTGATCATTTGCTATTACTAATACAGAGTGAATATTATTCACATCAAATATGGCATTTTATAGTAAAAATAGAGGAACAACAAAAAAATATATAAATTTACTTTATATGTTAAATATGATTTTTTTTTGGTAAAATAAGATTAGATTTTTTCTCCTTTTCTAAGCTCATATATTTAAATACTTATTTAAATGAAAACAAATATACAGACTACCTTCAATTTTTTAGAAAACATGCTATGTTTAATGAAATTTCCAACAATTCTTCATGTTTATAGGAAAGTTTCTATTTGGCTCTTTTTAAACAATATAAAGTAAAAACTTGCCACTATTCTTATGCTAATTTTACATAGAAATATAATTTTGGTAGGATTTTACCCAAATCTGCATTTCTATTAATATAAATAAAAATAAAAATAGATTAAATTTATGTTGTTCTGCTTTTGTTAAAAATTATAGGTGAAAAAGTTATTCGGTCTGTGAATATGCTTTATTATTCAAATATCACTTTTTGCCTTAGATAAAAGATATAATTGAAATATATTAAAATCAAAGGTCAAATAAATGAGATAAAGCATAATTGAATTTTGTCAAATCCATAATCAGAAACAGTTAACTTGCATTTTCTAATATAACATGCTATTTTCATCTACTGAAATATTACAAACTATCAGTATTCGAGAATCTTGTTACCACCTAAAATTCAAATTGTCATAGAGTATATTTATTACAATTAAAATTCTAAAATATGTATATCGAAAATATAATTACAATTTAATCTTATTAATATATATATTAATTTAAAAAGAATTTTGTTTGTATATCTTAGCGATTTTTATTTCACAAGTCAGCAAATATTATTCATATCAAAGATTTGGATCTTTATTCATGATCTAACGGATTATTGTAATTGTAGGCAATAAATAAATAACTAAATTTAATAAAAATTTATATTAAAAACAATGGTCCTAATATTCAGTATTTGAAAAAATAAACAAATATACCAAACCAATTCCAAATATTTAGTAACCATTTCAATGGATCCCAAAAAAATTGTCGAATCACAAATAAAAGATAATATAGACCTAATATGAGAGATAACTATGACCAATAAGAATTAGAAGTTATTGAAAAAAGTGAAAACAATTAAGAAAATTCAAATATAATGACCATATAACTGCATAATAATATTTTCTGAATTTTGTCCATTAAAATTAATTAAAGATTCGCCATTCCATAATTTATAAAATTCAATATCATATGCTCTAATAAATAGATTAGATTGAGGCTTAAAAAATTCACTAAGCCATTTAAACTCAGGAGGATACAAAATATAACAAGGGTATAGGATTATCAATAAAATTGTAGGTATATTTTACTTTGCTTAGATTATATATACTGTTATGAAAATTATAACTAATATAGTTATAACTAAGCCTAATACCTTTCTAACTATAGAATAATTAATAATTTGCTTAAATAAAAAAACTACAACTAACATTATTTGTATAATAAAACTGATATATTGTAAATCTAATGGCATTAATAAAGGGGTTAAGTTAAAAATTATTAATATTTCTACAAAAATATTATTATCACCAATAATATGATAAAAATAAAATCCTAAAATAATAAGGATAAAAAAGAAAAATAAAATGAATAGGATAAATATAATTGAAATTGGAAATTCTGCAAAAAAATAAATTAGGGATAAAAGATATTTATGGGAAATTTTAATAATTTTAATTCTAAGGTATAAGAATAAAGATGGTTAAAGATAAAGTTGTTATAATTAATCTTTAGATTTGAAAAAAAGGGTAATAAATAATGTTTCATTATAGTATCTTAAAATAAAATCAAAATATTTGTAATTTAAGTATGAAATATTATTACATATTATTGATAGTATGTAAATATTACTTTGTAGATCTTCTTTAAAAGTTTCAATAGTCTTGTTAAAAACCTTTTCTAATAAATCTATATTATTTTGCTCAATTGCTAATTTAAATAATTTTTTTCTATATAAAACGAAATAATACTTTGAGTTTAATAGATAATTGATCCATTACTTTTTTAATTCATCATTACCAAATAGCTAGTCAATCTGATTTTGTTCAATTGAATTTCTAAATAATTTAATTTACCTACATCATTTTCAAATGGATCAACAATTTTAGTAATGTCTGAATAATCCAATATGTAATTATTATAATACTTAATTGTATATTTTAAAAATCTAAGATCATAATTATATGTTTGAAATACTTTGGATCTCAAATTAAAGGTATAAATAAATAATACTTTCTTATTATATACAATACATAAATTATTAATTATCTGATATTTCTATTTTCTAAATTCAATATGGTCAAAGCTATTTAAAATTTCTTCATTTTCAATCACAATTTTTAAAACTATTGTATCTTGACTTCCTTCAATTGATATAAAGCTATATCCAGTTGTATCATGATTCATTAAATATAAGGTAAGATAATTTTCAAAAAAATCACTCTCAATTTGTATTAGAACATTAAAACTTTGATTTAAGTCTATCAAAAGATTTTTGCTGAATAAGTTTATGTTCTCATTATTTTTAATATTAATTGAATTATTTATATTATTATTAACTTTGTGATTTTTCAAATTATCTGAAATGTCAAAAATCTGAAGTTCTTCATTACAAATTCAAAAGACTTTTTTTCTTCTTAATTCAATAAGTTTAAATTGATCTTTAGATCCAAATAATTCACTAAACTTAATAATTGATTTTTCTAAATTTGATTTCTAATAGTAAATATTAATGATGTTAATACTTGATAATATAATTATAAGTTCATCATTACTTTCAGAAAAATCAAATTGTCGAGTATCTAATCAAAAAATAAATAATATAATATTATTATAAGGGATCAGAAGTATACTAAAGGTAATATGAAATCATACCTGTATTCGCAATCTTTCCAACTGGAACATTATTGGAATAAATATGATATGTATCATTAAAATTAAATTTCCAGAAAATTTAAAGTCTATTTATTTAGTATTTAGGTTCATTTTCTTTTTATAATAATGAATTGAACATTATTATCAATTTATTATTATTATAATAATCATAAGAAAAAAGTTATACTTACAAAAGGGAAACCATTTAGAATTGAAAAGTAATTAAATCCATTAAAATATAGAATCATATGATATCAACCACATCTTATCATTTAAAATGCTACCATAATTTATTTTATTTTAAATTTATAAATAACTTTAGGTCGAGTTTGCTTCATATTTAATAACTTGAAGAGTATTATATAATAAAAATCTCCATAAGAAAGTTTATATTCAAATCAGTTATAAATATTATTTGTTATTTCTTTTTGATTTTTCAAATTGCATTCAAAAATTTGTATGATTATTTAAAAATGATAAATAAAGTCTCACCTTTAGTATCATTTGCAATTTTATATATAATATCCTTTTTATCAGATACCTTAAAATTGCTAATATCCTCATTTACAGTCATATTGACAACTTTATTGAATGAATTATTTGCTTTGACAACATTTTATAACAAAAAATTTGATTTCTTGTCTATATGTTAATATATACATTAAATTTAGTGATATTGACAATTTAGTTATTTTGTGAATTTTGATTGTATCCGATGAATGCAAATGAACAGAAGAAAAACTTTAAATCATTTCACTTTCATCGATAATGTCAATTTGATGATCAAATTGAGATATAATAATAGTCGAAATATTTTTATAAATTTGACGTTAGGTAAATACAGCGATATTTATACATGTAAATTAAATTAGTTACATAACTTTTTCTTTTTTAATTTTCTTTATTTTATTTACTATAAGAGTTAGAATTCCAAGATAATAATTACTTATTATTTTAATTTCTAAAAACTATATACAAAATTATGAAATCAAAATTCTGTGATAATAAATCCTTATTGATTCATTGTTTAACTTCTAAAAATAATATATAATAAGAATTCCGTAATATTCATTTTTCATTTTATTTTTATTATTTTTTTGTTTGATAAAAAAGTTACTAGAAAAGTAATCTTTTCTGCTTAAAAAATATTTAATTCACTAAAGTTATCAGTTTTTAAGTACTGCGTCGCATTAAGGTTTCAAAGTTCTAAAGAAAAAGTTAATTCAAAGCTTATTAAAAAATTATTTATATTTTATCTATTCTCTTTCTATCTACTCTATTGGAAACTGTCATTAAAAATTTAACCAAATTTTGGCTAACCAACTAAAGTTAGTTAACCATTAATTAAAAGATCAGTTAATATTTGGTTAGCCAATAAACTATAGTTTATTCGCCAGTCCTTAAAATAGATTCTCTAATAAAATAAATTTTTATAAAAATATTTGTTTTCTAGATTCTTATTGTTAATATACTGTATTAAGAATGGTGCTTTATAAATTTTATTCTAATTTACTTCCATACAAAGAATTAGATGTATTAGATGTCCAATAAAATGTCAGAAAATCAAACGATAATAAAGAAAAAAGCTTCAGATGGAATTAACAGGTAAAAGCATATTAATAAAAGAATATTAACATTCCTTATTTTAGGAAATGGAAACGATTCAAATTAGAAATGATTTTATTATTAATCGCAATTTCTCATTACATGAGGTTAAAAAAAAATGATAAAAAAAAAAAATAAAAAAAATATTAAAAAAATAAAAAAATTTAAAATAATATATTAAGATCCTTTATTGATATAGCAATTTAGCATTCTTTTTTGTCATAGATTTCTGCAATACTTTTTTATTATGATTTTTTTTTTAATTTCATTTTTAAATTTTTATAATTTTTCTGACTTTCTCTTCAGACCGTAGTAATCGTATGATTTTTATTTTTGATTGTTTTTAAAGAATTATTCATTTTTAATAATTTAGTTCCTCTTTTTTTTTAGATCAGTTTGGATGTATACTATATGTGTATTTTTTTATTTAATTTTTATTTTTTTTAAAAATTTTAATGTTATTTTCTCGTGATCAAATATATATTTTTTTGCATTTTAATTTATTATTCTTTTTTCTCAAGTTTTATCTTTTGAGTTGGGTCACTTAGTAATAAAAAGGATTTTCTTTCTTTGCTTTATTAATCAGAAATACATGAGTTCGTTATTGTTCTCTTGAACGATTTCTTTATTATTTGAAAGAACTTTTTTATCATAAAATAGAAATTGTTTAAGAGGATAATGATCAAAATCGTTTTATATAATAAAAAAGTATAACCACTAGTTAACATAAAATATTAATTTAGCAGGTTTGCAATTTTGTTGTATTTTGAAATAAATTAAAACATTATTAATCATAAAAATTCATTAATAATTCATAGTTTTGATGAATTTACTATACATAAATATTAATGGTAAGATGTTTGATGTTAAATCCTAAATAAAATTTACTAATTCTTGCAAATAAAATTTGCAATTTGATAAAATAAACAAGATTTATCGACTTGATTATTAAATTACATGATTAATAATTATAAATTTGTTATCTTTCTTTATATCAGTCAGTTTAAATTATTAATATAAAATTACAATTCAAAAAATAAGTCTTTAGATGTAATTGTGAGTATTGTATGTTTAAAAGTTCAAGTTCTTTTCACTTGACAAAGTTAATATTTCTAAAAGCAGCATGATCTTTATAACTACACTGCACGTGCTGAATATATATTTATATATACTTTACATATCATGTTTATCTTCATAATAAAAATATTTACACAATATATACTTTGAAAAAAACATTTCACAAAATGAAATAACTTCAACTATTTCTTCCAAATTTTGTTTTAATACAAAAATCAAAAATAAGTAGAATGTAACTTCATTATCATATCATAACTCTTATTTGTTATACTTTTAACAAACAAAAATATATTTTTTCTAGTATATTTACATCGTTAAATATATTAAAATGCTTTTTTAACCATAACGTTGACAACTATATTTACAAATTATTACTAAAGGAAGTTTTCTGCAATAATAACGAACTTAAATTATAAAGGTAAATTTCATACCTATGCTTATACCTAATATGTCAATTGTTCAAAGATATTCTTAGATTAATACCCATGTGTAATATGATTTGTTAAAACACATGCGTCACTGAATCATTTAGAGTTTCAGGTTTCTCTAATCAATAAAAAATTATTTTTATTTTCTAAATCTTGAAATTTTATTAAAGGTTTTACATTTCGCTATAATCAATTACTTGTCAATGAAGTATCTTCAACAAAAATTCTACTTACAAACTTAATTATCCAGTTCTGATCTTGTCATGTCCTAAAAAGAATATCTAAAACTGAGACAAGTTTTATTGAATTTATATTTGTTTAGGTGAAGCTTTAACATAAAATGTTAATCCCATATTCTGACGATTTCCAAATCTCAGCAATGTCATGTACTTATTTTTGAAATGAACACTTGTTGGAAAAGCACTCTACTGAGAAGATTTTTATGGTCTAATTGTCAAGTAATTTTCATATCCATGTTTAACTTAATATGTCAATTATTTAAGAATATTCTTAATTTAATACTCAGTGTAATTTTTATTTTCTAGATCTTGGATTCCTACAGCAGGTATTCATTTTGATCACTTGTAGAGAAGTACTCTACTTAGAGATTTCAAGTAAGTTCTATACCTGTACTTACACTTAATGCGTCAATTGTTCAACTACATCCTTGGATTAATACCTATGTGTAATCAGGTTTTATTAAAATATCTTATGTATCTGTTTAGAATACATGCATTACTGAATTATTTAGAGTTTTAGATTTCTCTAATCAAAAAAAATTATTTTTATCTTTAGATCTTGATTTTCTACAGCAGGTACTTCAATCACTTGCGGAGATGCACTCTCTTAGAGATTTTCATAATGAATCAATTTTGCAAGTTTTATACCTATATTTACACTTAATGCATTAATTGTTTAAGAACATCCTTAGATTAATACCAATGTGTAATTAGGTTTAATTAGAGTATAATATATATAGTAAAAGAGTTCAAAGAATAGTTCTGTTATGCAGAAGTGAAATGTGAATTTTAAGTAATTACTCACACGTTGGCTTTTTTTTTCTCTTTATTTTTAGATATTAATATCATAAAGTAATAAAATCAAAATTGAAACCCAAAACCTGAAATTGAAATGAAAACGAAGGATATATAATATTGATGATAATAACATGAAAATAAAAATATAAAACTGAAAGAATAGGAAAAATAAAAAATAAATAAATAATAATAATAATAATAAAATAAATACATTGGAAAGAAGCTAAATTATAATAATAATAAAAAAAGAAAAAAAAAAAAAATCACTATGATTCACTGCAATCAAACCCACCTAAAAAATAAAATAAAAATAAAAAATATTTTAAAGAAAAATTTGCTAATATAAATTGAAGAGATTAAAACAAAAAAAAAAACTTAAAAAATGTAAAAATTGAAAAACTAAAATCATAATCAAGCGTAAAAAAAATCCAATCCACCCCTAAAACTAAAAAAAAATATTTATTCTTATAAAAGTGATTCAATAGAGGCGGAAAATTCCAAAAAAAAGTGTCTTATTTTTTTCTAAGCTAAAAAATAAGATAAAAAAAATTCTCGATTTAATTAAAAAAAGAATATAAATTAAACTTTTTATAAAGATGCCAAGAATTTGCATAAAGTAAAAAGTATAAAGTTATATTAAGTACTTTGAAAATATATAAATCTTATCTAGCCAATTAAACTAGATTAGTTCAATCAGCGCAGAAGTAGAATATATTAAACTTTATATATGCTAATTAATTAAAAGGAAAACTGGGATTATTTGTGAATACATTCAAGCTAAACATTGTAATACCTTTCCTATCGGCTAATTTCTGAATATATTTTTTGCTAAAATTATCATGATATATAAATTCGTCTTCTAAAATTATTTTCAAAATTTACGATCAATCGGTCTATAAACCACATTGTTAAACTAAATATCTTATCAATAGTATGAAAAAGAAAGTTACAGCATTAATAAATTCAAGGGGGATTTTACTATGTCATAATGATCAGAACTCATCTTGTATTTTATAATAAAAAAAAATTTTTATTGTTTATTAAATTTTTTTTAATGATAGGAGTACAGTATTAGTCACAAATATTACTGCACCTTTGTAGATTTATAACTGTGCTGAATATTATGAAAATAATACATGTTAAATATGTAATACATGTATTATTTGATCGACTTTATAATATATGTATCGAATAGTTTACTTTTAAATACAAATATTACTGTATACTCTCAAAAATAAGCATCCCTCAAAAATAAGCACCCCCATATTTATATATCCTTTGAAATTAAGCACCTCCGAACATTATATTAAATTTTATTAAATTCATATAAAAGATTATTATATTTACAAATAAAAGGGAAAAATAAGCTAT